CTCATCTTTAGCTGTGTCTTTCTGTATTCACAGTGTATTCCGATCCTAATTACAGATCAGTTAGTCTGGTTTTGAACCTTTTAGAGCTAGTATCACAGGATTAATGAAAAGAAAATGAGCAGGAGACAAGAGAGACCAAGCATGAATGAGTCTCTCAAGACAGCCGAATAAAGAATCCCTTCATTCTCTCTCAGTGATGTTTTATGGGATATGGAGAGAGGATTATGGGAATATTTATGGGACATAATGAATTCATGTATGGAGCAGCTCATCTTTTAGGTAAACACTGGATAAATGGGAAGTAGAATGGGCATTCATTGCCTCCAGGCCTGTGCATTTCATTGTGCCAGAGCTGGAAACAAGGGTTTGTTACACTTTCTCGTCACTGGTTTTTATTAAGTTTTGACCACAGTTGAATGGGTGGTGTAAGAATTATATATTCATCACTCTGAATCTATAGTAAAACTATCAAAGAAAGTATCCCCCTCTCTCTAGAGCCTACTTTAAGCTCTGGTTCATATTTAAACTTCACAAGTAAAATATAATAAAACAGCAGTACTTAAACTTACGTGACACACTGGTGCATTGGATAAAAACTTGTGGAATTTCAGTATTTTGAGAGAGATGTTTACTGGTCTAAATACTCATTGTGCCAAATGAAAAGCAAAATTAATTAATAGCAGGGCTCTACATGACCATGTATTGCAAAGTGGAATTTGGAGAGGAATACATTTTGCTTGGTGCTACGTCGGAAGAGGTTGTATTGCATCTAGGAATACAGCATTTAGCATGAATAATTGCAGCTTCTTGACAGCTTTTTTTTAGGCTGTTTTCTTTAAGAATAACTGGTATGGTTTCTTTTTTAAAGTATTAAATTATCTCAGTACCTCATAATTATTACAGTTAAGCAATGAGCCCAATGCTATAAAAACTAATAAACGGGTTATGACTATAAAGGAAATTTTAGCACGTATGTTCTCTGATTCAATGTGCTCTAGTGGGATAAATATATGCCATTCTGTTATTTTAATATTCCTTAATTGAAAAATGAAATTGGGTATTACTGGCACACAACCTTTTTTAAAAGGGTGAACTCATAAATTATAGATTTTTTTGCTGATACTGTGAATTTTCTATACTGAAATATTTCATTAGTCAAGGGTTGAGCGGGGAAAATACTTGCATTTAATGCCATTAAATCTATCTGCTTTCAGTGAGCTTGATCAATACAAAAATGTATTTGCAGGAAGACTGTTGGACTGAAGGAGGCAGTCCAAACAAAAAACATGCTCCGACTGCGACTGGAGTAGACCTCCCTCAGTCATCAGTTCACTCCCTTGCTCTTGTGAGCCATTGCTTTTCGGTTCAGAGGGGTTAGGTATCAAATTAATTATTAAAAAATAATAATCTTTGTCCACATAATGCAGAATCAGCCTGAGTTCACATGTGATATCTGTGTTGCCCTCCTAAATGCTCAGGATGTTGATCCTGCACATGCATACCAGCATGGAAATAGTACCTATTCTTTGTCCTTTTTAAAAAAATAAAGTGCAGAATGCATTTGATTTAATAGGGAGAATGTCTTAGCACAGCCTTTCCCAGTGTGGCTTTGTGTTTCGGAGACGGTAATTGTGCTTCCTGCAAAGTTGTAACTTGTCTCTCGTTGTGTATTATTTCATTTTGACTCTGTTCAAGAGCATTATAATACAATGGTGGCAGAAATCACGGAGTGCCCTTTGCCTTTCACCTGAGGGTCCCAGATTATAATACTTTGCAAATGTGTATTCAGCTTCACAGCATCTGTGTCCTCAGCAAGTCACTTTCTTGTGCTCTAGCAGATGGGGATGCTGTGCAAAGGACTTTGGTGACCTGCTCGAGATGACCTAGGACTTGAGTGGCAGAGTCAGGAGCAGAGCTTGAGTCCCAGAGTTGCACTGATGCAAAGGCCCCAAGCCTTCCTGTCTTCTTGTGAAACAATAGACCTAAACCTCCCTCCTTAGTGAAATAAGACAGCAGCAATATGGGGGGAAACTGTAATTAGCTGCTTTTGGTTGAATTGTGGCCACCCAGTGTATGTGGATTTCGAAGTCCTTGTTCTTAAGGAGAAAAGAGAAACTCTAAAGCAAAAAAAACATGTTACAGTCTCTTCAGAGCAAGTTGGTTTACTGAGGGGTCATCTCTCCAGTACTCATTTGGATCACATTTGAAGTTTTCAGATGTAATACTAAGCCTCTTGAAATCAGTGAGGTCAGGGCATCCCCTTTTGTTCATGTCATCAAGGCTAGAATTATTCAAATGTTAAAAAAAAGCCCACAAAAAACACCTCTTTTGTATTTCTAGACCTGGACTGCTGTTGATAAGGTTTCTTCCAAGTAATACATCCGAATGTGTATGTGCATCAGTTCCCAGGGAAAGGGGGTAGTAATGGAGAAAAAAAAACAGTTGCTAAAAGCACATTTCATTTAATTTCTAGATCTGGACGGTATTCTGGCACCGTAGTGATGGCTGTGGCATAGGAATGAAAATCGCCTGAAATCTTTAGCTATATGTGTGGGTTGTATTGGACTGGTCTGATCTATCTCTGTATATAGATCAATATCTATCTATCTATCTAATCAGATAGGTATAGACATCCACATCTATAAGGTACAAATCTGCCATTCCTTCTGCCTGACTTCTAACACAGCTAACCACCTCCGTCTGCTCTAGTGCAACCCGGAGTACAGTGTGCTATGTGCTGTGCCTCAGTTCACTTTTGTACAGGTGCTTTGTTTTCTCAGAGGTCTCCGTGCCAAAGCTAATAGGAAGTGAATTGGTCCTCCAAGTGGCTGTGCCAACTTGGAGGTGACGTTGTTGCTAGAGTGGCTGCTCCCCGACTTGCTGGTATTGCAGAGGGGTGAAAAGAGAGGTATTTGGCCATGTTAGTCTGAAATCAGGACAGACTAGAGTTGCACCTTTTACTGACTACCTGAATCAGAGATGTAGAACATGAGCTTTCATAAGCAGCAGCCGACGTCAGCTGCTGTGAGGGGACTGCGAGAAGCAGAGCTACTAAATAGAAAGCAGCACTTAAAATACAAAGGCTAGGGAGGGTGGAGGGAAAAAAAAGAGGGGGGCGCTCCTGGGAGAGGCACATGGGGTAAGAGAGCAAAAAACAAAGTAGTCAACCCATTGAGGATGCTTATAAAAGCTAAACCAGGTAATGGGATAAGGATCCATAGTCCTGGTTTAGACCATTCTTAACACAGTCCAGGCTGCGGGTGATTTCTTGTTCCTCCATTTCCTGTTCACGTGCGTTTTTAAGGTGTTGTCTGACAACAGGCAGCGATGGCAAGTCCTGGGAGGTTAAAGTCAGGTGAATGGGGGTGAAAGTCAGGTTTCCATTTCCGACAGGCCGTTCACTTTCCGAAACATGAATATTTTTTCTCACAAAGAAATGTAGTTGCCTACCCCAAAATGGAGTTTTGCCCTCTCTCTTTCAAATGCCCGTTATAAAACTCTTCTTTATTCATATGTATTTTGAGTGGAATCTCTCTCTCTGATCTCGCCTGCTACAAAAGCCCCTTTTATCCTAAATATTTTCATGCTTCTAAACCATTTTTAGTAGAATATGAGGATTATGGCACTTTGTTGTTAATAAAAACTGTTGTTTCTTCTACCTACGTCCTACAAACACTTCATTTTGAGCTGATACACACTCTGTACTGCCCTGGTGAATGACTATTATTTTCTTCATTTTTCAGTTTTGCTGGTTGTCTGCTGAATTCAAAGACCTAAAGTTTATCATGTTCCATCAGAAAAAGGACAAAAACTGTTAATGGAAGATAAACAGCCTTCTATTATACCTTATAAAAGGAGATAAAGAGGCTTTGATTGGAATAACGTTTCAAACTGGGGGGGGGAAGGATCTGTGTGTGTCCATGTGTGTCAGAGAGAGAGAAAAAGAGACTGCCTTTTTTATTCCTAAAACAAGATTTCAGGATTTTTCTAAATTACAAATGATTTTCCTTTTCCATGCACAGTTAAACACAAGAGATGACTACATGTAGAAGTATTTACTAGAAGCACCTTCAAATGTGGGGGGAAAGCATGATGCAGAATTTAGATCCGCGTTAGGTTTTATTAAACCATTGCAGTTTACGTAGAGCAATTACATTATATATCGATGGGTGTTGGACAGGCTCTTGATGGAAAAGAAAGGGATATTATACAACTGATTCTTCTCCCTATTTCTTAATGAACTGTTATGTTCAATAATTGCACATAGTTTTGTTCAAGCTATATGTTTCAGGATGGGAAAGTAGATTTAGATTCAGAGGTTGTATAATCAAAAAAATAACCTGATTCGATGCCTCTGATCAGTGCAGAAGTGCAGGGGACCCAGACCCAATTGCAAACTTTTTCTAATACAAAGCTTGGGTAAGAGCATTTCTTCCCAGCACTGCAAGTGTTGTCCTCTCACATAGGTGTGCAGAATATTGCAGTCGGATTCCTTGAAATTCTACCTGTGAGATAGCCAGCGATGAACTGTTTCTTCAGTAATTATGGGGGTCTTTTTACTAATGTGAAGAAAAAGAATATTTGGGTAAGAGAGAGAGATTAGTACACATCACTTCATGGATAAAAACTCCTGCAGTGTAACAGGTGCATGGCAGTGCTGGTGCATGTGAACCAGTGGAAACCTGAGCTTTTCAGAATGTAGCTAGTCCAGTATCAGATTGCTTTACTGCATCCTGGAATTATTAAATTAGCACGGTAGCATTAAAGGAGCACGTTCCACATAAATGGTCTTTAAAATACAAATCTAGGGCCAGCGCGTTCGATTTTAACCAATGCAGAAACTGTACACAAGGGTTTAGCTAAATGCCTGCCTTGAAAAATGCTTGATTATAGCACTAGATTTTGTTCATATTTATGGATCAGGTTTTTTGCTTCACTGTGCATTTATTCTTTATAAAGCAGCAAGAAATTGTAATTCCATTTTTTTCTAATCTTTCTAGAAAAAGTTCGGGAAATCCAGGAAAAACTTGAAGTCTTCATAGAAGCCCTTCATCAGGAGAAATAGATGGAGGCAATATTTTTTAGTTAATTAAAAGGTAATTATAATACTCTTACTACTCTGTGTTAAAAAGCTAACCAGTGGCTGTACTGGTATAGTACTAGCTTTGTGAAAATCCCTTTCATCTTGTAGCTTGCTTTGCTGCTTTCCTCTTTGGGTGCCACATCCCTAGCCTCTGATAAGAAAAGAATATGAAGCCTCCTTTAAGTATGCTCCCTAGGTCAGTGAATCAAGTCTCATGAAACAGCTGTAGTGTACTCAGTTATTCTTCAACACATTATTTGTATCAACATTAAAATGAGACGGAGAGTTCTTCCTCTTTGCAGTCCCGAACGGAATAATACTTCCGTCTCTTTCTGCAAAGTTTTACACGGGGTTCTCAGAAGTAATCATGTAACTGAAAATTATTTTCGTCAGCTGTCAGACCTCCTCTGTTTGTCATCTAATTTATGTGCGTTAGGTCTCAGAGTCTACACAGCATCATGACAGCAGTACAGTGCGATTGCACCTGTGTGTTAATTAACTCTCTTTTTGTTTCAGCAGCAGCAGCAGTTATAACGTGAATGCAGCCCTTGCCCACAACACGTTGCACAAAGAAGGCTTTTCTGTTCCATTCTCCTCTCCACCAAAACTTTTGGGGAGCATTGTGTGAAGTGAAGGGGGATGAGAAAAGCAGTTTCTCTATGGGATCAAGGCGTTTCAACAAAACCCGTCCTCTTAATTTTGGAAGAAAGATGCACATCGCAGCAAAATCTGGATTTTATGAGGTTGAAAAAAGTTGGGCAAGCTCCTCCAGTATACAACTGAGTTTTGTTTCTGAGAGGAAAAGAGGCTTCTGTTTGGCTGCTGTCTAGCATGGCAGGACTGGATAAGATTCATTAAGTAATCCAGTGTCGATTCCTTGCCCAAAACAATGCTGGGAGTTGGAAATAAAGTTTTATCATTTGTACATACATGATTATGCCCTTCTAAGTGATACTGTTTGTCTCTGTAATGCTGTATGTTGAAGTGTCCTCTGATCAATAAGGTACAGATGGAAATGCACTGTTTTAGGAAGGCAGATCTTGGAAAGGAAGCTGGGGATTTTGTACAGCGCATAGACACTTGAAAGGACTCATCCAAGCAATCCTTTCAGTTCCTTTTGGAATGAAAGTACAGACTGCCGTTCACTGACACCTTTACAGGTTTGGCTCAGGAAATGTCAACAGCTGTTCACTTCTTTCCTAGCAGATGATGTTGCTCTGAATCCAATTTCATTGCGGGATTTACTGGACTCTGGCTTTCCAATTCAGCTCTTCCCCCCAGTTAGGAAGATTTCTGCTTGTGTGTATGCAGAATGCAAAACAATAACTTGATGGTGGAACGCCAGTTGCTTTGACCCACTCAAATAAAAACCTCAGAGAAAAATTAAAATCAGATTTTATTTCCTTTTTTTCTGGGGACTCTAAGGCCAAAATTGCTTTAAATTAATGCAGTACAGAAGATCCCTTCATAGCCACTTGCTTTATATCAAGCATAGTATAAATAGTCACTGAAATCCATTTCCTTCAGCCTGTCATGTTGCCCCTAAAGCAGTATGTATAGTAAATACAAGAACTTGGTGAACTGTAACATATGTCGAGTCTTTGAACTATCATAAAGAATTTTGCCCGACTGGTTTTTACTTGTTGCTTCTATTATCTTCCAGTCACGAATTGTTCATGTTAGCCCCCCATACGTGAGCGTGGGCTTTTTTACATACCTCCTCTCAAGTACTCTTGTGTAAAATGGTAACATGATAAATTTAAGAAATGAATCTAAACACCATTGCACAGATGTCCAATGCCTTTTTAACCTGCTTCCTATTCTTCTCTTAATTTTTTTTTTAATACAAATGGCATAAGCAAGCTATGTTTGATAAGTGATCTGGATACTTTCAGGAATGCTTCCATGGAAGAGGGGTTAGGCAGAAAACTGCACAAGGAATGGCTATCTCAAAGTGCACGTTAGAGCACTGATGTATACTCGCATTCGCTCTGTTAAAGGCTAGTTATTGGACGTACTGTTAATTGAGAGAGGAAGAATCGATATGCGAGAGCATTCATCACCTCTGTTCTCAGCTAGAGGAAGCACCGGTAGGGAAAACCCTTAACACTTTAATGATCAGAAATAAAACTTTAAATACTATCATGTGAAAAATTAAATCATAGTTTTTCATACAAAGGTGCTTTAAAGCTTGAACATCAAGATGATCTAACACTCTAAGTACCAAAATCCTAACACTTAAGCAGATGTTAATGATATAAAAATGAGTCAATTTTAGGAAAAAAAGATAAATTGTATTATCTGTTGATAAAGACTGAGTACCTGGAGAAATTTAAGTTCCCAAATGAGGAAAACAGGTTCCATAGGCTGGGTACCAAGTGAATGAGTCTGTACTTGTATTAAATCCCTCTTCTGTGCAAAACACCTTTTGCATTGACTTGAAGAGATCACTGTTTGAAGCCTCCATGTAGTGTGTTACCAAATGTCACAGCCAGTGGTCCAAATACATCTCCCCCCTCTCTTTTTTTAAGTGAAATCAAAAAAAGTTTTGGGTTCTAACTTCTCTCTATTGCTAATATGACACTTGGCATGATGTATCCCATGAAAACTAGGTATTTATTGACTGCTGATGTAATTGAAGGGAAAAAATAAAATTCAGATTTTGAACACTACATGGTCTTGTATGCACGGTTTAAAAATTACTTTACCTCCTTGTGCCTGTTTCCTCAATTGTAAAGGTTCCCCACTTCTGTAAGGTGCTTTAAAATCTTTGAACACAATCTATGCTTTTGCCACATAACATTGCTAATTAGCAATTAAATTAATTGGGTCAGTATGTTGTTTCTAATATATTAATCACAGTACTCCTACATTACTGTTGGTATAGTGCTATGTTTAGATACAGTGCTTTACAGACGGATGTAGCATAGTCCCTGTTGCAAGGCATTTACCAGCTTCTTAAGAAGTATAGGGACTACACAGATACACTTGGCACAAATAGAATTCACAGGCTTTTGTCCCAACTACGTGGTTTTAGTGCTTTAAAATTTTTATAGTTGTTTATGGTTCATATAAATGTTTTGTCAGACCTTGGATTTGGGAATCGCATCGGAGCCAAGTTACCAACAGGGGCATTCAGGCTTATTAAACCACATCTTGCAGAATAGGGGAAATGTTATAAAACAGTGACAAAACATTTTAAAAAGTAAATCTCCTACAGTATTAAAGGTACTGCATATCTGTTCTGCAGCTCATGGATCTAGTCACAGCCATAATCATTGTTTGATTTCATGGTGGGTTTCAACTAGCTAAACTGTGCTGAGCTTTTTGGGCAGGGCAGCATATAAATCTAATAAATTCATAAATATTAACTGTACTAATTAAAGTGTTTTAACACAATATGATATACACAGATGATTAGACAGCTACTTTCTGGTAATGTGATTTCCTTAATAAGAAGGTATGTCAATGCCATTGAACATTGATTGCACCTTGTTAGGAGCCTCTTGTTATTAATTAAATGACGGAATGAAACACTGAAATATTTAGAAAATTAGAAATGTGAACAGCCTGATCTGCATATTTTCACCTATCAGTTTAACCTGTCTATTCCCTTTAAAAAAATCTTCCCATCTTAAGGATGGTTGCAATTTGGTTTTTCTGGGTAGTGGAACTTCAAAGAATTGCCTTTAATGCAATTTATGCCACAAGCAAGGAAAAAATGTTAAGATGCAGAGCTGTGCTACTTGTTATAGTCATGTGTTGTTTTAAGTTGGCTGGAGAATGATGACAATCAGAATTCATTGAAAAGTTGATTCTTTTCTAGTTGTACCATAGCGGATCAGAAACCAACCTCCGTGTTCACTGAAGCTGATTATCATGATTATTTTTTGGTATATTTTGAAGGAATTGAATGGGTCTGGGGGAGAGCATACTGAGAAGAAAAGGTGGTCTGAGGAAGAGCTTATGCTTAACTCTTCAATAAATTAGCCATCCAAGCACATAATTAGCTGAGACAAATTGCATTTGGTAAAATAATGATAGTTAGACCTTTATGAAGATCACCCAATGCCAAGAAACTCCTTAATGGATTTTTCTCCATAATTACCTAAAGCCAGCAAAGATTTGCTGACTACATTTAGCACGAAGCTGTATTAAAACAGAATTACTTGAATTGCCTTTATGGTTTGTACAATAAAGGAAAGAGTAAATTATCCAACACCTCATTACATATTTTGCAAAGTCAATCTAGGTGCACAGTGCAATGCATTTTGTGACTGGTAAATCAGAATGACTGAGACTTTAGCAGATGAGAGATGGGGGGAAAGCCCTCAACAAGACTTTCATGATTTCACTGGATTGGTAAAACATGTTAAATATGGCACCTCTCGTGTTCTGCATAATAAAATTTGAAAATACTGAAAGTAACAAAGATTAGGGTGTAACGTGTTGCTCCCAGATGCTATGCATTTGTATTTACCCCACAGCGTGTTAACCTTTATATGTCCAAAGTATTCATTTACTGTTATGCAAGTATGCTCCTGAAGTTTGCATTTTTCAGTCATTAGCTGGTAAGTAAATATGCCCAAAATTTTGGGTGGAATTGGTCAATTTTGAAAGAAGTATATCTGAAATTATTCTTTTTAAATCTATCTTATTTTATATTTATTGTATCTTATGTGTGTGTGTATAGATATAGATAGATCATAATACTCCTACATAACTGTTGGTGCATAGTGTTAGGTTTAGATATGGTACTTTACAGACAAACCAAGCACAGTCACTGTTGCAAGGAGCATAAATATACATCTATATTTATTTTTTAAAACGTACAATAGACTACTTATTTCTTAGTTGCAGCTGCCGAACTAATCTTCCAGCATGAAACAGATGAGAATCTGGAAATGTACTAAAAGCATTTAGTGCTATGATATAGTCTGATTTGACTAAGGATAAAACAAAGGAGGTGGTTGAAGACAGCAAGGTAAGCAGCATTAGGTATTTGATAAGGCATTGTATGAGCTACTTTTATCATAGTTTAGGCACAAAAATAGGGTTTTTGAAATGCATTTCTCGAGGCCAAGTGATACAGAATTTAGCCAACATAAATCTGATGATATTTTATTCTCAAGTGTAATAGGAGTTGCCATGGTTGTATTGTCATCACTATTACTACTACTACTACTGTTGTTGTTTACTCCTGTTGAGAAACATAAGCATTTATGAAGTACAGAGGCAATGAGCCTGGTCCAAAGCCCATTTAAGTCCAGTAAGACTCCAGCTGACCCCAGAGGGTTTGATCGAGGGTCTCAGGTTCCCACAGATTCTTCCCTTGACAGACCGCGGGGTTACGCTCGCTGCCGCAGTGATACTGTCAGGGTTCCTCAGATTTTGGGGTGGGCGAGGGATGGTTTTTCCCCTATATACGAGGCGGAGAGCGCTGCACTGCAGCAGGCGGGCTCTTTCAGAGTGCTGAGAGCCACCCCTTGGGTTTACCAGGCATGCTGCTGAAACACGCTTCCCATTACAGCTGATCCCACTTCCTCCTCCGAAGGCGCGGTATGGTGATCAAAGCTGCATGGGGCCTCTGGCAGGGAGCGTACCGCACTCGCAAGGGCCTTCACTACCCAGCAAGCAGCTACCCAGACTTCCCACGTGCGCTTGTGATTTGCTTTGCTTTGCTTTGCTAGGGAAGCAGCTGGCTGGAGGGCTACTTCTAACAAGGTCTCAAAAACCTGCACATTTCCAGAAGAGCAGGAAGAGGACGCATGGCTTTGGTTACCGTTCTGGTGGAAGCTGTTGCATCTTCCTGCCTGAGCCTTGGATGCTATCATATGCAAGGCATTCCTAGATGTTAAGGCTCAAAAGAATAATCGCAACCTTTGCCTGATCTCTTGTATAACAGAAGCCGCAGAGCTCCCTGTCCTGAGCCTGGCAGCGTGTGGTTGAACTAGAGGGCATATCTACTAATCTTGAGTTCAATTGATGGAGCTTTTGTCTCATCCATTGGTGAATTTGCTCCAGTGCTCACTGACGAACGTGCATCTTTATTTCCAATATGCACTTCCCTCCTTTCAGCCAAGAGTCCCTGCATCTTGTTCTACTTTTCTTCTTTTAAAGATTCTCGGTATCCTAACAAGTTTGCCGCCTCACCCCAACTTCAACCCTGCCCCACACTCCGTCTGTGCTTCAAAAAGGGGGTGTCTCTTCCAGGCAGCCGGGACCTGGGTGCCGTGGTCTACATCTAGAAACAATTTCATTGCAAAGACATCTGAGTGACGGTTTTCACCTCCACTTTCAAGCCATTCTCCCCTCATTAGTGTCTTTAAATCAGTGTAAAGTGTTAAGATAACAGTATAGTCCATCCACTGAAGAACATTTAAAGCACCGTTTTTCCAAATCCTCCCCAGTGCGCTTGCCCCCAGGGTTTGATGTTTAGATATGGGGCGTTTTTCGCACCCCTCTCTACAATAAGCCTGTTCTGGTTCATGTGAAAATCAACATCCTTTTTTGTGTTGCTGCCTGACAGGACGCTACAATACTATTAGCATTTGCAAAGGGTTTGCTCTGTCTAATAGCGCAGCCCCCAGATCACGGGCTGCTCAGTTTGTGTTTCTCTATTATGTGAAAGACACAAAGAAGCTGAAGGCTGGCAAAGGCCTGTCAAATCTTGTAATGTAGCAACCGACCCCAAAGCTTCATTCTGCTTTATAGGAGCCCTTGTTCCCCGTCCCACCCCTCCCCTGAATGGGCTCTGAGGTAGGTAAATGAATTCAGTGGGATGGTAGGCGGATGATTCCTTTCTGACCTCATTCCTGTACCATTTGTTTCCAGGCTTGTCGGAGGGAAAGGGACATTTCTGAATCCTTTGTTTCCAATAATTTTCTTGCAGGTTGGGGAGTTAATGTAGACCTTGTCTGGAGTCACCCGAGCAGAAAGCGTTCTGGGTGCAAGCCCTGACATGCTCGGAAGTGCCGGATTAAAGGGAAGAGCTCCTACCCGGAGCTCTTTCACACGCGGCCGAGCGAGACACCTGCACACCTGGTTTTCAGCGCGTGCGTGCTTTTGTCCCCACTCCAAACATCTGTCTTCTTGCTGATGCACTCTCTGCTTCAGCCTCCACTGAGAAGGAAGCTGCCGAGGCTCGCAGAAAGCTCGTAAGCCAGCAGTTTTCGGGGAGAGGTTTCAAACTCTAGCCTCTACCTGGAAAACCCTATGCAAGGATGCTAGGTCTTGATCAGGAGTGGATGCCAGCATCGTGACTCATGCGGGGTCTGATGCCCGTGTCTGTGCTTGAGGATTTAGGAGGCAAAGGTTGGTTTTTCAGTTCACCAGACCTGGCTTTTGGGAGGTGAGTGCTTGCACGCCATGCTGGCAAGAGGCTCTTACTTCCACAGGCAGAAGGGACCAAGGGACGTGGCATATTGCCAGGTGCCAGCAGTAGCTGCCACCTGAGCGACAAAATGGCCAAGCGGTGAAACTCTGCCGTGGCAATGGTGTTGGCTCTGCCCAGTCAGCACCGTGGAATTGAGTTTGCGGTAGGTGATGTGGTTTAGTTCCCACGTCCTCGTGGCCTCAAACACGGCATGCACACGCTAACTGCTCCACATTAACGGGCGCCTCGCTCTCACTGCACATGCACGAAGGTCAGAAGTCATCCTGGAGAGGGCAC